ATTTTTAAATCAAATATAAAAAGCCTTAAATTACCAAATGTGGTTTGAGGAGAGTGAGATGGATAGATAATGTAAGCTATGTCAATTGCTTCGAATCAGGGAGCTCAAGAACTCCATTTCAGAAATTTCAGAAAACAGGGAAAATTACAGGATGAAACCCTTATTCCCCAAGTAACAATTCAAGCTGAACAGTAAGAACAACTGATTTAAGGTGTACGAAGCTTATAAACACCAGGCTGAGTAAATAGTTCATAAGTAGTGCATAAAGCGAATTGTATCCCCATAATTCAACCTCATTAAGTTAACTGATCTGAACAAGACTTAATTAAGCTTTACACTACTTCACAAATCAGCAATGCGCTTTAAATATTTTGATAGTCTGATAGGATAATATGAATCTTTTGCACAATATTGTTAAAAATCGTGTTGCATTTTTGACATTTTAGTTCTTCTAAATTCACTGCCTACTTTTCTAACCCCAAGCAGCGCCAGCAGTAGAGACAAGGAAGAGGAGCTTTATAGAGCATTTCCAGCCCAAAACGCAAACCGGTTGGTCATGAGTGTTTCCGATTTGAATGAAACATTTCTCACGTGTTCGCTGCTACTAATGGTTGCATTTTTCATTTAAATATAATTTTTTCCTTCAGAGTAACTTTTGAAAAGGGCGTATAAAAAAATGGATTATTTTTTTTTCAAAAAATCATAACTTGAAAACTATTGATCTGATCAAAATGGCATATGAGAAGAAGTTTTAGGTAGTTAAATTATCTTTGCGGAAAAAAATACACTGAAAGAAAAACTTAGTAAATTAGTATTTAAAAAAAGTAAAACGGTGATTATCTCAAAACACCCCCCCTTTGATCTTTATAATTTTTTTTTTCAAGAAAACTGAAAAAATGCCCTAATATTTAGTAAAGAGTGTATGCTGGTAACTTTCTTATATTTTTTTTTATAATTTTTGAAATTTTTGTTGGTTTTTACAAGTTGGTGAAATTGCATATTTTTTAGTAAAATAGTAATTTATTTGGATTCTACGCATAATTTTCAAAAACATTACATATAGAAACTTTTTTCCTAAGTCCAGCCGTTCTCAAGTTAATGCAATTTAAAAAAAAAATTATAATAATTTTCTACATTTTGGGCCATTTTCAAATGTTAGTCGTGATGTCCAGCAACGAGATGTTTTTCCATGAATATATATTAAAAAACAGACAATTCATTCTCAAATATGGTAGCTGTCAGACTTACCCGTTTCTATTTAGACGCAGCGGAAAAGAAACACGTTTATAAGTAAATACTCTCAAATATACCCAAATAATCAACAAACCCAGTCATGTGCCTTTTTTCTGTCCTCTATTAGTTGTATACCTTTATAGAATTGTGTATGTCATAACAGAGGCTCAAAACATAAACAGGTAAACAAATATGTTATTAAACCTGTAATTGAGATAAATTCTCTAGGTACTTCTCTGACGTATACCATATTGTGCCTTAAGAGCTCATCCCGCGATATCATAACTACATAAAAAGGCACCCCGTGGAGGCTTCTTACACTCACACTTAAAAAAGTTTGCTATAATCAATTGTACCTAATGAAGATAGGTATAATGTCAACATTGTAATTATTCTGCTACATATATATATATATATTGGGACGATCTTCACCTGTTCCATTCAGTTCATCTCTCTTAGCGTTTCAAGTTAAAAAGCAAGTAGTTTTTTACGATGGATAACAATTTCAAGTGTTGTAAACCTCTACCTAAATCAATTTCAAAGCATGACACAGTAACAGTAGTTCAGTTGTTTATCTCAAAATTATTAGAATTTTTAAAGTTGCAAATAACAGTCCAAAAGTGTATTTGTATTTTCACAATACAAAAACATAAAAAAATTGCTAGCCTCTGTGGATTTAAAGATAAGCATAATGTAGAAATTGAATGGCATTTTTTTGCAACTTCACACGGCAAAGGTCATTGTGATGCGATTGGCGGTACCCTTAAGAGAATGGCAACCAGAGCAAGTTTAGCTAAGCAACACGAGCACCCTATAACGAACCCTGAACAACTGTACGACTGGGCAAATAGTCGTAAAGAAGATCTTCAAACAAAAATGTCATTTTGTTATGTTTCTACGGAAGAATACAAAAAGGCTGACACGGAATTTGATCCAATTTTTAAGAAAGTGAAACCAATTCCTGGAACTCGAAAATATCATTGCTATATTCCAGTTTCAAACAACCAAATTGCAGTAAAAATATTCTCTAATTCAAACGATACACCCAAATTATTCAATGTACACTGGAGTCGCTTTTTACGCGGTTTTTTTGTACACGGTTTTTTTTTACGCGGTTTTTTTTTACGCGGATTTCGGAATTTACGCGGTTTTTTTTACGCGGATTCCGGAATTTACGCGGTTTTTTTTTACGCGGATTTTGGTTTTTTTTTACGCGGATTTCAGAATTGACGCGGTATATCGCTTTTTACGCGGTTTTTTCTTACACGGTCTTTTTTTACGCGGTTTTTTTTACGCGGATTTCGGAATTTACGCGGTTTTTTTTACGCGGATTCCGGAATTTACGCGGTTTTTTTACGCGGTTTTTTTTACGCGGGACGTATCACCCGCGTAAAAAGCGACTCCAGTGTATTCAAATAATATGAGTTGTAAAATAAAATAATAAATATATACTGTTTTTTATCTCAACAAATCTTTCATTTGACCACATCAACGTGCTTCTCTTCCGCTGCCTCTAGATAGAAACGAGTAAGTCTGACAGCTACCATATCTGAGAATGAATTGTTTGTTTTTTAATATACAATCATGAAATAAAATCTCGTTGCTGGACATCTCGACGAACATTTGAAAATGGCCTAAAATGTTGAAAATTGTTATAATTATATTTTTTTAATTTGCATTAACTTGAGAACGGCTGGACTTAGGAAAAAAATTTTTATATGCAAAGTTATCGAAAATTATGCGTAGAATCCAAATAAATTGTTATTTTTCAAAAAAATATGCATTTTCATCAACTTGTAAAAATCAACAAAAATTTAAAAAATTATAGATTTCTTTTGAAGGAAGTTACCAGCATACACTTTTCACAAAACTTAAGGGTATTCCATCAATTTTCTTGAAAAAAAAAATTATAAAGATCGAAGGGGGGGTGTTTTGAGATAATCATCGTTTTATGTTTTTTAAATACTAATTTACGAAGTTTTTTCTTTCAGTGTATTTTTTCCGCAAAGATAATTTAACTACCTAAAACTTCTTCTCATATGCCGTTTTGATCAGAGCAATAGTTTTCAAGTTATGATTTTTTGAAAAAAAAATAATCAATTTTTTTATACGCCCTTTTCAAAAGTTACTCTGGAGGAAAAAATCATATTTAAATGAAAAATGCAACCATTAGTAGCAGCGAACACGTGAGCAATGTTTCATTCAAATCAGAAGGGGTCGAGACAAAATTGACATTTTTTTTAACGATTTGAGCTAGAAATGCTCTATAGGAATAGCTCCAGGTAGAAGTAGACTACGACGATGTCGGAAACATTAACATTTGTATTCCTGTGTTTTTACTGTTCACCACTTTATATCGCAGATAATTTTCAGACCGCATTTCAAAAATAGTATTCAATTACGGCACTATAAAAAACGCATCCAAATGACCCTCGAAATAAATCGTGCACTTGTGCCCGCATTGTATTTACTGCACATGAAAATGAGAGGAATGTTTTACTGTCACAATTTACTTTTTACAATTCTGAATTGCTGTATAATATTCTTCCGGTTACTATTATTCTACTAAAGTTTGACGTGCTTCAAGTTAATGATCATACATTTTGCCACCCATATGAGTGATCCAGTAGGTATAGTTGACGCCTGTAAATCAATGGCTGCCGGTTTGAATCTCGAAACGCAAAGGTAATTTTTAGACGAAGGAGAAATGGCTCTAATGTTGGCCTATGGATCTAAGATTGGGCCCATCGCTAAAAAATCTGCTATTTATCAATTTTATCTAGATGAATGCATCATTGGGACGGTACTAATGGATATTTTTGGTCCTTAATGAATTACATCCACTTCTCCTATTTGACAAATCGTTTGCGTAGATAAATTGGTGTGCAAAGTATAACAAAACGTGACATTCCACAATCTGGGTTGATTCTTGTGTGCGTGATCTTTACACATTTTCATTTCCTGCCTACCTAAGGAATTTCAATTTGTAGTCAGTACCTATTAAAACTACTCGCTACAACCATGTCGGTACTAACAAGCTAGAGAAGACGTTCCAACGGCCTTGCTACCCTGTTTGGTTTCTGCATACTCCCGCACTTTGCAGTGCTCCCACATTGGTTCACGTTCACATATGCGCCTCTCATTTATTTTTCGCTTAGCAAAAGATTGCGGCATCTGTATACATAAACGAAAGCAATAAAAAAAGGTCAATTGATTAGCATAACAGTGTCTCCGGGGGTACAGAGTCTAAGGGTTAAAAAGGTAGTAAACTAGCGAACCGTTTTCAAGTAAATCAATATCATTGTTAACGTGCTATCAACGACAATTCCTATTTATTACGATGAATTCATAGAAGCATAATGATAATGAAATGAAAATGGATTCTAAAATACTAAGCAATCGCACTTCATAACGTGTAATAAACTCAATATCATTCTTTACTGGGCGATTACATTCCGAAGACGAGCTAAAGGTTCAATGTTCCTTCATTACCCGATTTGTGTCACGTTGTGTTAAGATTAGACACGTGATTCTCGCATAAATGACCTACTTTTACAAATACTTCCCACTCCCGTTACTAGCTAGATATACCTACAGTTTAATAAAACAAAACTTTTGTCAAATAAAACGTGCTCCGAATCCCAATACCATCCTTGATACCGTTTGTAACTATCATCTCCATATTTGTTTGATTGCGTTCATACATACTTTTCATTGTTTTCATACACCACGCATAAAGTTTTCCTTCTTCGACATTTTACTTGCAGAGAAACACTACGGCTGCTACAAGGTGGGCATTTTGTTCTCGGTTATCATCATCTTGCTTCTGTTGTTAGGCTGCGTGCCGATATTCTATCTCACCCACAACAACAACCTGATTCTACTGATCCTGCTGGTAACGCTGATCCTAATCGGCATCGTTACGTATGTTTACTTCCGGTGGCAGCATCGTCGGGCCCTGCAAATGCGCCGCAACTACGAGGAACAGAAGATGAATCTGACACGGTCCGTCAAACGACCGGCTTCCAATGGATTGAAACAGGTTTATGTTTTAGCAATCTCTTTTTTTGGTTCATTGATTATCTAATTTTATTTTAATATCCTCAAATAGGCAAAACCAGACCCAGTGGTACCAAAAATCGAAATTGACAAAGTTAAAAGTGTAGGACAGGATCAGCCACGTTACTCGTTTATTTGAGACCTTAAGTGTTTAATCAAAAATGTGACAATGTTAATGTTTGTCCATCGTACCGTAAGAAGGAATTCAGCAGGATAATAAGTCCCAATTCAAAGGTTAGGTCTTAAGTAACATTGATCGATTCTCTTCATCGACTTTCTCTTCCGCTAATAATTTGGGTATAGAACTTTTTCTTGTCCTTTTTGGCGTATTAGAAGCTAGATAATAGTGTGCTAAAAATAGCTGGGAATGTCTTAACATGGCAATGAGGATTCTAAGAGAAAGTCGGCGAAGAGAATGCTACATAGGACCTTCAGCTTGGATTGCTATCAAACAGCATTTTCAAGGTTAGGTATATTAATATTCAGAAATGATAAAAAATATACATCAACATAATGCATCCCGTGAAATAATGTTAAATACTATCACATATTATTGAGATTTTAAATGTTCAGGATATAGTTAATGTTTGTTACAATTGAACTATTATAATAAATTATTCAACAAATATAAGTTGTTTGTATCCAACCTCCTTCTCAATCATTTAACTGTAATGTTTATTGCAAATCACCTTAATTACATCTAGGTCTGGGTCGTCATATCTGATATATGATTTATTGAAATAAATACTGTAAATATATAATGGACTATTCCATGTCCATATACTATGTAGACACATTAGAAGGAGCAGAGTCGAACGTCCTCGGTCCATACAATACCGCTGGGATATCGGGGTCTCAATCCTCTCAAAAACTGTCTACGTGGATTGTGGACAGCCCCATATGGTCAATCAACGTAATTAAATGTATGCAGGCTTAAGCTGCGTCCAGATGCTATAAGATACGTGGCAACTTTTATTTAACATAGTGTAAACAATTTTTTGAAGCTGATGCTACCGGGCGTTAGCAAAGCCGGGTATTACTCACACCATGAAACTATATGGACTATATGAACTTTCTACATGGACAATTGAAATATATATCAGCATCTAATTAGCAAGCAAACGTGTAAGACCACTTCTTTTTGTGTATCCGAAACACGGGAAAGGCGTTCGTTGGCGGTTTGTCGGGAAGTAAGTCCGGGAAGTTGTTGGGCCAATGGTGAAGATTGGCCGGAATCCGAAAACGGACGGTGTTTACATGCTGTAGACAGGATATTCAGCCGCGCGAGTTAAAAACCCGTAGTGTGATACTGCCCACAGAACACTAGAACACTAGCTTGGAAGACAATAGAGTGAGTGACAAAAGAAACGCGTGGTCATGCACATGGTTGCCGCGGAAAAAGTTTGTTGAAAGGTGGCAGAATTAAGTGTAAGGTTCATCTATGAGCCACGAAGGTTCAGATTCCGAAAAATACGAAAGCGGAACTGATCGTGAAAATATCAGTGATACTGAACTTGATTCCCCTCGTCCTGCAGATCAATTTGTGACTGTACGGAAACCGAGCAAAATGCCACGGGACGGTGATCGGCTAAGGGCTGAGTTGGACGCGAAAGTGGCCGAAATTGAACGCTTGCAACAACGGTTAACAGTGGCCACGAGGAATTCGGAAGATAACCAGGTGCGTGAGGTGGTTCGACGGCCAGATTTCCGTGAGTTGCGAGACTAGTGAGTAACTTTGACCCGAAGGAAGCCACGTGCCTTTCGGCCGAAGAGTGGATCCAAGAGATCGAAACTACTGCTGCTCATTACGGATGGGATGGACCGACAAAATTGCATTGTGCTCGTTTGAACTTGGAAGGCTCCGCTAAGTTGTGGTGGTCTGGCGTTCAAAATGAAGCCATCACATGGGCTCTGTTCTCGGCGAAGCTGATCCGAGCTTACCCATCGGCTCGCGACCAAATCTACTATCACACTCAAATGACCAAGCGTCGAAAAAGGAGAGATGAGACGATCGAAGAGTATGTCTACTCTCAAGTGGCTTTAGGGAAAAGAGCCGGCTTTGGTGAAGGTGTAATAGTGAAATACGTGATCGCTGGATTGGGAGAGTTCGTGTCTAAGTCCCGAGTACAGTTGGGTGGAAGAATTGAGACGGTAGAAGAGTTGATATCTCAGCTGAAATGGATGGAAGGTATGAACGATACACCATCGGAATCGGTTGCTGCACGAGTGACCGAGAGGCAGAAGGAGAAAGTAGCGACGTGCTATAGGTGTAGTCAGCCGGGGCATAAAGCGATGTCTTGTCCGGCGTTTGCGGAAAGATGCTGCTACAATTGTGGTGTTAGTGGTAATATGGCGAAAAATTGCCCGAATCCGAAGCCGCCGAAGGCCGGACCTTCGAGAATGCAAGTAGTGGACGAGGATAATAACTTTGTGCGAGTCGTGGAAGTGGCTGGCATGAAACTAAACGCTCTAATCGATTCAGGGTGTAAAGTTTCAACGATTCAATGTCGGTTTGCTGAAAAAGCTGGAAATAGTGAAATGGCAAATACGACCTTGGTCGGTTTTGGGGGAAGAAAAGTGAATGTGGACAAAATCGTTAGATCGAACGTGAAACTCGACGAAATAGAAGTGCCGGTGAAACTAAACGTGGTCCCAAACTGGGCTCAGAACACGGCGCTGATTCTAGGACGTGATATGCTGAACCAACAGGGAGTTGTGATGGTAAACCGTAACGGAAAGGTAGAATTTCGACGGGATCGGGATCGAAGTGCAGTTCGCGAGGAATCGGATCAGATGGTTGTGGAAGTACAGCCGAGAAAATACGAGACGATGTTTACTATTGACAGTCAAGTGAAATACGCGGAAATCCGGGCTGAAGATGTGAATGCTGACGGGCCTAAAGAAGAAGTTTTGAATTTAGTAAATCGATTTCGATCCTGCTTCGCAAAGAACATGAAAGAGTTGGGTGTTGCAAAGGGCACGGTAATGAAAATATTATTGAGTGATAAGGAACCAGTGTACATCAAACCTCATCGTATGGAATATGCGCGAGAAACTGCTCTGCGTGGTATAGTGGAAGAACTTATTGAAGCAGGTATTGTGAAGGAATCGAATTCGCCGTACAGTAGCCAAGTTGTAATGGTGCCGAAAAAGGATGGTGCTTTGAATTACAGGCAGTGAATTACAGGCTGCTGAACAAAAAAACCGTGAAAGACCGTTATCCCATGCCTGACATCGAGTGGTGCCTAAATAAACTCAGTGGGGCAGAAGTGTTTATTACGGTAGATCTTTATTCCGGGTATTACCAAATTCCAGTGGCGGAGGACAGCCAAGAGTGTACCGCGTTTTCCACCCGTGACGGCCATTACCACTTTCTACGAATGCCGTTTGGGTTAGCGAATGGCTGTTCGGTATTCCAACGAGCGATGAACCAGTTGACAGCAAAGCTGCGGAAGGAGGGCATCGTTGCCTATATAGACGATTTGGTGATTGGTGGAAAAAATGTGAACGAAGTGATGCGAAAATTTGAAAAGTTGCTAGAAGTGCTTAAGGAGAGTGGTTTCACCATTAATCTGAAGAAATCACACTTTTTTAAATCATCCGTCGATTTTCTGGGATTTGAAGTGCCGAAGAACGGAGGGTCTGGCTGGAATTTTGTTGATGCAGACGGATGAAGGTTGGCAACCGGTTAGCTATTACAGTAAGCGTACATCGGAGGCAGAACGAAAATACCACAGTTACGAATTGGAGGTGTTAGCAGTTGTAGCCAGCGTCGAAAGATTTCGTCATTATTTGATCGGGAAGTTCTTTGTTCTGCGTACCGATTGCAGTGCAGTGAGAGACACATACGAAAAACGAGACATGAATGCACGAATCGGCAGGTGGTTTCTGAAGCTCACTGAATACGATTTTCGGTTGGAGCATAGGCCAGGAAGCTCCATGAGACACGTGGACGCGTTGAGTAGAAATCCAGTGGAAGGCGGAAGTAGTGTTGATCCCGTTCTGTGCGATATGATGGCTATCGATATAAGCAACAGTGATTTTCTAGTGGCTCTGCAAAGACAAGATCCTCGATTGTGTGACATTGTAGATGTGTTAGGGAGATCTCCGTTAACTGATGAAGAGAGACAAATGCAGCAGAATTATCAGTTAGATCGGCATCGGTTGATAAGGTTGGTGGAAGGGGAGAAATGTTTTGTAGTGCCAAACCGTGTTCGCTGGCGTCTAGTTTACACATACCACGATGAAATGGGCCACTTCGGGGAGGACAAAGTGTTGGAACGGCTGCAGCAAAAATTCTGGTTCCCGAAGATGCGTAAGTATGTACGATCCTACATACAAGCGTGTCCGCAATGTGCGTTCCATAAAAGTAAAGGTGGAAAACCCGAGGGATTTTTACATCCACTACCAAAAGAACCCGTGCCGTTTAGAACAGTACACATGGATCATATGGGGCCGTTTGTCCGATCGGCCAGAGGTAATTCGTATGTGTTGCTTCTCACTTGTGGGTTTTCGAAATTTGTGGTTGCCCGAGCGGTTCGGTCGACGAAAACGGGACCGGTATTGAACTTTCTAGAAGATGTAACGGCCATATTTGGAACACCAGGTCGCATTATTACAGACAGGGGTACTGCATTCACTGCGAAGAAGTTCGAGGAGTATTGTCGGGTGAACGCTATCGAGCACATCAAAACATCAGTAGGGTCGCCGAGAGCGAACGGTCAAGCTGAGAGAGCGAACAGAACAGTGCTCAATTCAATTCGGTGTATGGTTGGGGAGAAGAATACGCGTTGGGATGAGCAGCTGCAGAAGATTCAGTGGTCAGTAAACAACATGCCGAACTCGACCACAAACCTGACGCCGAGTGTATTGGTGTTGTCTTATAAACCACGAGACGTACACCAGAATACCATCATATTGACACTGCAGGATGAAGAAGATAACGTGTTGGAGAATACCTCAGAGTTGAGACAGCAAGCAACAAGAGCGATCGAGAAAAGACAACGGCTACAAAAGCGGTATTTTGACGAACGCCGCAGAAAGCCGATCAACTACGAAGTCGGCGATATGGTATTAGTGGAACGAGATCTCACGGCGATGGGTCATAGTCGGAAGCTGGAGGCGAAGTTTAAAGGCCCATATTTGGTGAAAGCGGTATTGGGTAATGAGCGGTACGAGCTGGAAGATATTCCGGGCTTGCATGGATCGAGCCGAGCGAGAACAACGGTGTATGCAGCTGATCGAATCAAGCGATGGTGCCAACTCGAGGATCTCGAAGGGTACGACGAAGCGACGTTTGATGAGACGACGGGAAGTGAAAGCGAAGATTAACGTGTGAAATAGTTTTTCGATGTAGATTGAATTTTGGATTGTATTGAAAGTGAATTAAACCTAATTTGAAATCAGGTTGGGCTGGGTGTCCGGTTGTAAACAATTTTTTGAAGCTGATGCTAACGGGCGTTAGCAAAACCGGGTATTACTCACACCTTGAAACTATATGGACTATATGAACTTTCTACATGGACAATTGAAATATATAGGGGAAATGACGGCTTCGGCATGACAGACTATTTTCGGCAACCCAAATTGAAACACTATTTTCACTGGATTTTCTTACGAAAACACTTCGCTGAATGCATGCAAACGATTATTTATGCTTTCAGCTTCAATTTGACTATATCTTTACCACTGAGAAAAAGCAATCTAGCAGGGTTTTCTTGAAATGAAACATACGCACTACAAATTGTAGCTGATTTCGAGTTGCCGATAATAGAACAGCAGATTTACATGCAGTTCAAATGGAACGGTTGCCGAAGAAAAACTGGTTGCCGACAATACTCGCTCTCACTAGAGAAAATTGGAGCTTTGTAAAAGCGTTTCAGAACAGTTTTTGACAATTCTTTCGACTGAAATTGTTAGAGCAGCTGGCAGCAAAAGATTGCAAACAAACCAATACTGCATATGTGTGCGTTCTTTAAAGAAAAAGGCTATAGAAAGAAGGTCGCTGCTTAGGTTGCCGAGAATACGTAAATTCCCCTATCAGTATCTAATTAGCAAGCAAACGTGTAAGACCACTTCTTTTTGTGTATCCGAAACACGGGAAAGGCGTTCGTTGGCGGTTTGTCGGGAAGTAAGTCCGGGAAGTTGTTGGGCCAATGGTGAAGATTGGCCGGAATCCGAAAACGGACGGTGTTTACAATAGGTACAAAAACTTAAATTTATCGATCTATGGTGAACTTGTTTTTTGCTCTAAATGATCTTTATTTTTTGAATTTGTGTGGATTACATGATTGAATTTTCAAGCGACACACATGCGTCTTTTCAACTTTAGTTGATTTGAAATTTTATTTATTAATTATTTATTATTTAATGTTCCTAGCCCTATCAGGCCTGTTCAGAGAATGGCCACTTTGGTAGGATTGGTTTGTTTGGAATTGAAAAAAAGAAAACTACTTATAAGTTATAACTACTATACGCAATTACTACCTAACCTACGTCTACTATATACATACACTTAACCTTCTATATACAAATTGCTTATTAAAGCATATTCTGATGTGTTGCATTTCTGCACAAACCTAGTCTTAATGTCATCAATTTTATAATCTAATTTAGGTACGTTCGCCTCTAGGCAAAGATCAGAAATTCTTGTGTCGAAGGGATGATCAAGGGCCATCCTCAGTACCCTATTCTGAGAGACCTGGATTTTGTTCCTGTGAGCCTGTGCACATGATTCCCACACCGGAGCTGCGTAGAGGATCGCAGGTGCTATGATTTGTTTGTAGACGGCCAGTTTGTTCCTCCTTGAGAGGCGGGATCTGCGGCAAATCAGCGGATACCGACACCTAACCAAGGCAGAGCACTTGGCTACGTTTTTCTCTACATGCGAACGGAAGAGGAGCTTTTCATCGAACAATATCCCGAGATAGGTTACTTCGGCAGACCATTCAACCCTTGTACCATCCATGATTATAGTACAAGGTGGAACCGGTTTTAGTTTGGGCGATTGCCGATGATTGCTAGAGTTTTGGAGGCATTGATTTTAATTGTCCAGCTGTTGGCAAATACGTTAAGGCATCGTTGAAGTTTTTTCGTTATTTCGTGAGGCACCTCCTTCTTTTGACGGCTATTGCGGTATCATCTGCGAACATGAAAAACACGCAACCGTCTCCGAGGGGAGGAATGTCAAAAGTGTAGATGCTATTAGGCAAAGGGTCCAACAGACTTCCTTGCGGAACACCTGCTGGGATGGAAAACGTGTCCGAAAGACAACCATTCAACCATACCTTAAACGACCTTTGCTGGAAGTAGTTACGGGTGATTTTAACCAGATGTAATGGGAAGTTGAACTTATAAATCTTGTACCCAAGTCCGTTATTAGGGTTACCATATAGTATCCTAAAGGAGGACATGTCCTCCTTTTTCAATATTCTGTCTACATCCTTCTTTTGCCCGAAAATGTCCCTCTCTTTGCATTTTTTCCAGTAACATCCCAAGTAACATTGTAAGTTTTATCGAGGATTTAAAGCATTCTTCAAGTCTTAATTATGGTTTACAGAACCCTCATATAACCAAAAATGTTACTTGAGATATTTATAAAACAGTTTTCAAAGAGCGTTGTTGTAGGGCATGCTTGTTTAATTATGTCGCAACCTCGTCTTGTCTAACAAATGCCATTCGATAGTGGGACCAGCAGTATACTACAGTTGTCAACAGCCCTACATTTAGGCTGTGGCATATTTGGTGAATTCTCACTTGAATTTGACAGATGGAATTTTTTTAAATAAACCTCCCATTCTACTAGACTTATTTTTGGCAGACCAGGAATCAATTTTGACAATAGAGGGATTTTCGATCATTATAATTTATTTTCGAAGAGTCACAGCCTGTAATACGATTGAAGGATTTTCACTTAATTTTGACATTTCGAGAATATCTTATACTAATTGATTGGGATGGTTTTGAGGCTGTAAAGCTGTAATTTACATGCAAAAAAGATCGACTAGATCATTTCCAAGTATCAACAATGAATTAAGAAGGCTAGTTTGATGCATATTTCAAAAGTATAACGAGAAGATGAGTTGAATTGATACCGACTACTACATATTAACTATCTCAATAGAACCTTTGAAAATCATGAATACCCGTTTGATAAAAACTCATTGTCATCCTTTAATGTTTAGAAAAGGAAACATTGTCCTCCTTTATCTTTAAACGTCAATGAAATGTCCTCCTTTTCAAGTTATTGATATGGTAGCCCTGTCATGCCAAACATTATTAAACGTCTAGCAAGGTCATGGCTGTGGATACAATTTTGTTACTTCGGATGTTATTCATCCCCCGTGCTAGCTGGTGATTGGTGGTGTGCCCCTTCCTGAACCCAAACTGTTCTGGAAAGAGAATATTGTTTTCCTCGACAAACTTGAGCAAACGATTGAGAATGAGTTTCTCGAACAATTTTCTCAGCGCTAAAAGGAGGCTGAATGGTCTGTAGCTTGAAGGCAATGTTGGATCCTTACCGGGATTGCGGATTAGTACAATTTTTGCTACATTCCAGATGCTTAAGAAGTAGTACAGCTCCAAGCATCTGTTAGCGGCATAAATAGACTGCACTTTCATGCTTAGTCTATTCAAGATTAAGTTGAATGTGCCGTCAAACCCGGGAGCCTTTAAA